GACATCGATTGTAACTGCATATATCAGAAGCGTTTATGTTGTTCTTCTTCAAGCTCCCAACCGAGGCAAGGATGGAGGTCAACGCTGCAGTCTGTAGACCTTTACTTGCCATGATCTTTGCTCCTGGCGTTTGCCGGATGTGCATCTTGACTGGCAGTGCACGGGGAGAACGATGGCTGTAGAACCTCTATCTGCTGATCTTCTTTGTTGATCTGGGTTGCCGCCGCTTGCTGGGAAAAGAATGATTTATTCGCTGCAAGCGATGCACCTGGCATTGTAAATACGAACCAGAGATTTACCTGCAGAGAATACATATTTGTTCACTGTATGCTTGACTGGCCAAAGATCCCAGACAAGATCCTGAGTTGATTCTGAGCCTTCTTCATCACAGGGCTATCCCAATCATGGACTGCGTAGAAAGGTTCCGAAGGGACTGAAGGCAATAGACCTGCCATCATGTGGATTGCAGTGACAGCAGTCTCTGTGTGAAAGAACTCAAGGTTCTTGCAATTATAAGTGGTGAACCTCAAGTTCTCTCTCGGTTCATCTAGTGTTCAAGGCTTGATGGCGATGTCTCAAGGGGTGAACAAGAGACTGACAAAGAGAGGAGAGTAAGATGCTATCATTGTGACATTAGTCGTCCTGACCACCTCACTGATTAGAGTGATGAAGATGGTGGTACGAAGTAAGGTAGACCTTAGTTTAGATAGGATGTCTTCTTGAAGTGAAGTTCGCTTCTCTCAACACACTTTGCGGACTTGGGGGCAGAGCAGTCATGCCGGTGAGGCTGTTGTTAGACTCTAAACCGTGTTGTGTTTACAGAGAAGGATCTCTGCTGATTAAGAGTCAAGACGACATACTCAATCACAACAGATGATCCTGTACCAAGCTTGCGGCTCATAATGAAGTCAGTTTGGGATGAGAGGCGCTACGAGGTTTAAAACACTAGCGGTGAAAACTATTTCCCCTACCTTACCTTAGTCATCGTCACCATCGCAACTTTCACAAGCCACTATCATCAGCATTTCGTAGCGCCATCTTCGTAGCATTACAGCTGTTTCCTAAAAAATAGTAATAAAGCCGGTCCATCAACTTCGACCGCATCCAATGACTCGATCACAACCTAACAACATGCCTAGACGGACATCAGTCAACCAAGGCCACCTAAACCTACATCCAGACGTTCAACAAGACAAGCCAGGACCGAAAGGGAACGAGCCCAAAGACCTCATGATTACACCCCAGGTGTTAAATGCTCCATGGGCGAGGCCATGCAGAGAATGCCGCAGCCTAGGAATACCCTGCGGCGAATTGAGGAGGATGGGTGAACAGTGCCCCCAGTGCGCGACACTTGGGTACACCTGTCATTCAACGGCCGAGGACGCCAAAAATGCTATAATCACGGATATGATGGCGAAGCTTCGGCAATCCGCCATCATGGACGCTACGGCCGCTGATGTTGAAACCTCCGCTCGGCACGCCTGGCGCAAAGAGAAGGTGCCTCCGGTCGACGTTGAATCGTATACGCAGCCGTTTCTCTCCTTCATCTCCGAGAACCCCACTACCTTTCACGCTGTAGCAACCGTATGCAAGAGACTCGAATCGCGTGGCTTTACGAATCTATCGGAGCGCGACTCGTGGACAAGCAAGCTTTCAAGAGGTGGCAAATACTGCTTCACACGAAATGGCAGTAGTGTGATTGCTTTCGTCGTTGGCAACAACTACGAGTCCGGAAACGGAGCAAGTGTCATTGCTAGCCATATCGATGCTCTTACTACACGGGTGAAGCCCATTCCGACACTGTCTACCAAGGCAGGCTACATCCAGCTTGGCGTCGCGCCTTACGCTGGAGCGTTAAACAATACCTGGTGGGATAGGGATCTAGGAATTGGAGGGAGAGTGTTGGTGAAAAATAGTAAGACTGGGAAGATAGAGACGAAGTTAGTCAAATTGGGATGGCCTATTGCCAGGATACCGACATTGGCGCCTCACTTTGGCGCCGCTGCGGACCTCTCGCATCCCAACAAAGAGACCGAGATGGTTCCTATTATCGGCTTGGACAACGCACAGTCCGAGGATGATTCATCGGATAAACGACAGGACTTCAATATCCTAGGCGGCGCTGGGACCTTCACGGCTACACAGCCAGAGCGATTGGTAAAAGCAATAGCAGGAGAGATGAACATCCAAGACTGTAAGCGTTGTATTCTGTCATACTAATCGAGTTACTAAAATCTGCCAGATAGCAGCATCGTCAACTGGGAGCTCGAGCTTTTCGACACTCAACCGGCCCAGCTCGGCGGCCTGGACAAAGAATTCATCTTCGCAGGGCGTGTCGATGACAAACTCTGCTCCTTCGCCGCTATTGAGGCACTCATTGCCTCCAGCCTTGACGACACTGACTCCAGCTCCATCAAAATAGTGGGGTGCTTCGATGATGAGGAAATTGGCTCACTTCTTCGCCAAGGCGCGCATAGCAATCTTCTCCCAAGCGCTCTGGAGCGCATCTGCGAAGCTTTCTCCGAAAAGAGTTGCGGGGCCAACTGCGTGTCCCAGATGTACGCGAATAGCTTCTTGATCTCTGCAGATGTCTCTCATGCCGTGAATCCCAACTTCATGGGCGCATACCTGGAGAACCACGCCCCGAGGCTCAATACTGGCATTGCCATCCAGGCAGATCCGAATGGCCATACTACGACTGACGGCATCAGTACGGCTTTCCTGCAACGCGTTGCTGACAAGTGTGATGCCAAGCTGCAGGTCTTTCAAATCAGGAATGATAGCAGGAGTGGTGGTACTGTGGGGCCGATGCTGTCAAGTGCGATGGGCATGAGGGCGATCGATGCGGGCTTGCCGCAGCTCAGTATGCATAGCATTCGGGCGACGATCGGCAGTCAGGATCCAGGGCTAGGTGTGAAGCTATTCAAGGGCTTCTTCGATCATTTTGAAGAGGTTGATGCGGAGTTCAGGTAAGCTGGGAACAGCGGAGGGATGATCTCTTGTACGAGCCCCAGGCATCATCGAGCATTGCCTGGCATCTCTGCTGTAATCAACAGATTGAATGCTCGGACTCTGTAGTTTTATGACAAACAAAACGTCATTTAGCAAGGACAATGCTGCCGAAAAGAATCAAACTCGTGGCTTTTCAAGCTCTTCTGAGATTTAATTTGCATCTTGAGCGGCGGCGATCATCACTTCTTCCCCACAGTCCCAGGCCGACTCAGTCAGAAGTCGACACTTTGGACCCCCGTTCCCATCTTCTCATGGTATCAAACGCGGCGTCACAAGTCCTTCAAATGTCAATTGGGCTTTCCCGTCGATTGCTTAGCTGCCATCTGGTTTAGCTGTTGCCAAAGTCATTACTGTCCGTCATCAGACTCAGAATAGTCTCCCCTGTTGTCGCTGTGGCTGCGTCGGTGGGGCCCCACTTGCAAAACGAAGGGCTAGCACTGATGGACAATAAAAGAATAACACGAGATGTCCTTTACCGGTAGACAGACGCAAAGGTCTCAAGTGTAAGGTCTCGTAGCATGATCCTTTGACACGCACTCTTTTCGATCGCATTCTGGCGCAATCGATCATGTGATCAACACCACTAGCTTACTCGACAATGTGAAAGCATGTCTGTCTTCGAACTTTTACAGTACCTCAAGATCACTTGTTCTTGTTGCTACCTTCTACGTTCTCCACCCGTTATCTCAGTCCACTTTACAAAACACTCAAGTCACGAAGCGGTTGACGAAAACTAGCTGCTGCAGCGAGCGGTGTGAGGCATTCAGAGCTGCAACTTGAAAATTCTAGAAACGGTGGATAGCATCCAGGAACTCCATACAACGCAAATCTAAAATCGACACTCTTTAAAAAGCATGTACGCTACCAGAGTTCAGGAAAACCTACTGACCAGTGCTAGGCAACATGCGGGCTCAGCACCTTCCTTAGTCGCAGACCTCTGAATATCATGTGTTTTGAATGCAAAAGACGAAAGTTGTCTTCATGTAAGGGATCCACAGCTTGCTAGGAGCACGGCGTCTGGAGCACCTCATAGCTATCCTTTCAAGCCGTCGATCGCACCTTCAGCACCTTTCGAATTACGCAGAGTACGGTATAGAACTTTCAGAGATGCCGCATTCGTGGATCTGTTTGGCGTGGATACCGGCTTCATTTGTAGCTTACTTAAAGTATCGCTACAAGCCAATACCAGCAGTCCAAGATATGCAATTCGAAGACATGATAACCTTGATATGGCACGGTCAGACCAACAAGGATTGGAAAGCTGCAGCGCCGTTACCAAAGGCCCCTCCCGAACGAATTATACAGGATCTGGGCAACGCGGTGACGCTGGTGTATTGGACACCGGTCGGACGGAAAATGTCCGCAGAGCTCCAAAGGGGTCGGGCCTTCCGTCAATGTTCATAGATCCTGCAGCCAATGGACGATGACCCGCCCATGGCGACGGACCTAGCCCCGGTCGGAACTTGCACGTGGTCCTTCCGCTGCTGCATCTGTTGCTTTGCAATTTCCCCAAGTTGTCAGGACTACAACCAATCAAACGCCATGCCGAGGATCTGCTGATCAGCAGCGGCGACGAGATGCCGAGACTCCGCACTTGAAGGCCACCAATGAGAGATGTTACCGCATCATGGTTCTTTACCTGCGCCTTTGAAGTTTCAGAGTCCACCGGACGCAGATGCGCACACCACATTGGCTGCGGAGATGTAGGTCGAAGGCTGTGATACCATACATAGAGTGGCGACTATGACCGATAATTGTTGGGGGAAACATTATCTTGTTCACAAAGCACTTCACCTTTCGGCCATCATCTCGAGCAATCCTCCAAACCTCATGTTGGTACAACCTGACTTTCCAATCCTCTATCCGTGAGCTGTAAAGTCCGTTCCAAGAGAGACACCCCTCGCTCCCCACTTTTGTTGACCCTTCACACTTCCACAACCTCACTCTGCCACCCTCCCCCCCGCACGCACACCATCTCAGAACAAAGTATGGGCCCCACAATTTACAAAACGCCGGCCAGCAACAAAGCCCCAGCCCGTCGCGCTCACAAAACGCGTCCTGACAACGTCTCCTCCTCCCCCTCCTTTTCACCGCCCAAGAATGTCGTGCAGCCAGTCCAGAAGACCATCCAGCGCGAAACCACCGTGGGGAGCACGCCAGCCAACGACTGGATTTCAGCCATTGGACTCGACAAATCGGACCTTCGTCGCGCCTCCATCTCCTCCTTCCCCCCACCCCACCGCTACCCGAAACCGAGCCAACCGAAGAATCCCACACCCACCAGAATCATGACCTCCATCAACGGAGTCCCGATGTACTCCCACGGCACCTCCGCCACCCCTTTGGCCCCGCACAAGATCCTGCTTCCGAAACTCGACCCCACGCTCCGCTCCGCAGCCCCGGTCTTTTCGCCCTCCTCCTCCCGCTCCGTCGCTCCTCCGGCCCAACAACAACAACCACAACAACAACATACGCCAGCAGACGACACGTTCCGGACCCCGCCACCCTTCGACCCTAAGAAGTGCCACTGGCGCGCCCTCCGCGATGTCGCCTTCGTACTCGACGGGCGCGTGGTACTTTCGTCCGAGGACCTCTGCGCGCTGCTCCGCTTCCGGTACGCGCGGACTGATCCGCTGATGGCGGGTGTGGAGCTGGGACATGTGGGGGCTATGTATGGTTTTTGTAAAGGTTGGCCGAGGGAGTTGTATGAGGAGAAGGCGGAGAATCTGATTCGGGTGCAGATGGGGATGGATTTGAAGCTTATGAGGGAAGGGGGGCTGGGGGTCGTGAGTGAGGATTTTTGAGGGGCGGAGGGAGGGGGTGGTGGTGGGACGTATATGGGCGGATTGGTTCGGGGCGCTTTGGCGGGAGGAGTTTGATGGGATGGGTTTTACGGGTGGCGAGTATTTACTGTTGAATAGTATTGACGTTAGCTTCGGGATGCTGTTCGTTGGCTATTTTTCTATCGACATTCAAACTTTTTCTCTCGGCTGTTCTATATCTATAACATTCCCGGGCACTAAATTTCTTTATTCCACGTTTATTGATCTCAAGGATATACCGTTTGCCTAGTATTTCCGACTGCATCTGTTGTAGGCGGCTTTCGATTCTACAAGATCAATCTATGAATTCAAATCGTACGTAATGTCTGCTTCTGACGACGAACAAATCAGGGATCAAACATGCCCGAATTGTAGCTACCGTAACTTGATACCATTCTCCTTCTCCTCAGGCCCCCTGCCTGGCCGGTAAAACCGTCGTATGGCTCCTCCAATAGCTTAGAGATGGGGCAGAATCTCGTGTATTAGTCTGGCAAATTCTCGGGTGCGGTAAACGATAGTGCGCTCGGCCACCCCTGTTATGCTTCGCAAATGCCATGCGTATCACGCGCCCTGATTCGTATCCGGCATTTCTGGTGGAGTTCATCTCCGACTCTCGAATTCCTTGACGCTGAGAAGCCTCTCGCAGGGGCCGGGAGTCCATCGGAGGCCACTCTCGCGTGTCGGAGGCTGAGGCTCTTTTTTTTGACATCGATCCGTAAGAGCTGAGGGGGGACAATCACTTAGAAATTGGGAAGTCTTTTCTGTCTACATCACGGCCTTGGAACGCCGACACAACATATCGAGAAGGCTGTCAAGGAACAAAGCTGGTGAGGTGTTAGCGGTAGTACGTTACGATTGTATTGAGGAGGCCGTCTTGTCATCTGAGGCTTGTAAAGCGGAAGTCCTTGGTCCGGAAGTTAGATAGGCATTTCCTTTTTGGTAAACCGCTTTCGAGACGTCAATAATTTTCGGAAATCTCCACAGTTTGCACATATTCTCGCCAGCGTATTGGTGATCATCGCCTGCGAAATGACAATGAGTCTCCACCGGCTGCAGAGAATGAAGCTTGGATATTATCAAGCGGATTTTTGGGCGAAGCTGCATCAATGGGTGAAACAATCGACAAGATTCTGGGGGTTTTGCATCAAGTTTTTCAAATGATATTACTTTGTACCTGGCGCGATAGCAGTCATTTCGTATTGCTGCAGACGTTGGTCTGCTTGGGCGCGCTTTTTTGCGCTGATCGTCCTTTTGTAAGGCGCTATGAGAACCATTGCTGACAGACTGTGGTAGGAAATACGAGCAATAGCTGGGGTCGGCGGCAAAATTTGATGCCCGGATCTCGACATCAGCCTTAGGAGGCGTGGTGGCAAGCCAAATCCACAGGAGAAAGAGCACTTTTTGTCATGAAGTTTTGGATGTTAGGGGCTGGGAACGACGGATAGCAAGGCTCCTTTTCACGCTCACGGTCAAATACTACAGGAATATTACCCACAATGTCCGCTACGCCCCTGCCATCTTGCCAACCGCCTACGTAGGCGCTTGCCACGCCAATTCTTCCCGTAGACCTTTGCATTTCCAGTCTCATTTTTTAGATCCCTCTGCTCTTTCGATTTCTCACTTGGATTATGGAAGTGATGAACCGTTCGCTGGGACTCCAGGCAAATTAAAGATATCCTCTTCTTATTATGATTTTCGTGATGTAGTATGGCTCACGTCCTTGAATTGATAAAATGTAGACGGCAGACGTTCTTCCTCGATCTGCTCTGTCAGAGATAGAACCGATCAATTTGGTGTCAGGACAGCATTTTCAAGATTTATTGTTGTACAGTCCACTTGTTATCTGAGACGCCAAGGTTCCCCTTTCTGGTTCTGCGCACCATACATATAAGGCTTGATGTTCGGACTTTTTCGCTGTTGTCCTGGTGGATTAGACAATTACCTGTAGGCGAGATGGGGACACCATAAGGGAATTCGAGGTTCTTGAAAGCCTCGGGCATCAGTTTATGCATTATATGCATTTGGCTTTTATGTTGGACGGTTGAGTGCCAGACTGGGCCGGTAATGTGCGGTGTTTTCAAGAGTAGAAAGGAAGGAACGTGATGCACAGTCGCAACTTTGAAGGTTGTGGATTGTGCCTGCTGCGGTAACAGGAAGGATGATCCCGCATCTGAGAATGAAAGTGTGGACATGTCTACTTTTGCGGTGCCTCTGCCTTGCTTACCAGAGTCTGTATATACGAGTCCAGTGGTGCCTCAGTCATCAGTGACTTGTGTAACCTCAGATGAAGTTGGAATTTCCTGAAGTGGTTTAGCTATGTTGCGGCACGACCTCGTCAAACAGAACCTTCATCCTACACCACTACTTGCCCATAGAACTAATAGTGAGCAAGGGTCTCCGTGTAGAGGCATTGGAATTATGTTTGATAAGTGTTTCAATGGGTACTGACCTCGCCCCCTATTACCTGTTGAAGATGTCTATAAGCCTGTCGTCTTGAAACTGTGCTTGTTGGCATCCTTTGAAAGCCTTGACAGCCGTGAAAGCTTGACTCAATCCCTAAGGAACCCGACTGGCCGTAAATCTTGAGGTCTTCAAGATCATTTTACCTAGCTGCGATTCCCAAGACATGCGGCAAGAAACATGTTTCGGAAGTTCAAAAGCTGGTGAACACAGGACTAACAATTAAGGTCTTAAGGTGCGCTGTGTACATCCGAGGCTTTGCCAGCAGTCAACTCTAGGCTTGATCTCTCACATGTCTGACGACCTACGAATCATTGGAAGCCGCCTGATCCCCCTTGCATCTGGCGACCTGCGGGTTCCACAAGACTTCAAAAGCCGTCAAACAGCGGCCCGATTCCCCTAACACTTGGCGGGCTACACATCTTCCAAGCTTTGAAACAGGTGGGTTTAAGGCAGATTAAAAACGTAATACAGTTTCAAGAAGAGATGACAGCGCATTCGGCTGCGTTTTGAGGGCTAGCTGCCTCAGTAGGCTCGCAAAAGGGAGTAGAGTTGCGCAGTGACCTTGCCAAAAGTATACTCGAGGTGAGAGATATGTTGATTATTTCACTGGGTTCTTTGAGGGTATAAATGGTGTATTCTATTCATCTGCGGCGACTATCTGAAAAAAGCGGGCATAAACAGCAACTGGGATGCAACGCCAAATTCATCCCCATGTCCTTCTTCTGTCACGCGGCTATAATCCTGCTTGGACAGCCATGACAATGATACGGTCTTTCATTGTCCTGCTCTCCAATCTTGTCAATGTCTAGGGACAGCTATTAGCATTGATCTCGGATTTGCGTAACTAGATGAGCATGACTTACCCTTCCACGCTATTCGGCCTCTTCTGTCTTGTCATCCCCTGTGGTGGTGATCTGTTCGGTGAGGGCGCTACGGCCGTCGTTGAGGTTGGTGGATGTGAGCTGGCGGCTGAGGTTGGAGATCGCAGCAAGCTCCTCTGTCTCCCCCTCCGCATTCGCAATCGCCTTTACTGCAAACTCAGGTCTCTCCTCCTCGGGCTTAGTGGTGGGGAAATCTTCCTCGAGGTCGGGAGCGACTTTGGTCACCATGACGGTATGCTTGGTGGTGGCTGCCTCTCTTTCGACCATAGCACGGGCATCGGCTCTGCACTTGGCCTTCTGTTCAGTGTTTGACCGTGTGGCGTATTTTGCGCCTAGGTCGAAGCTGACTCTTGTCGAGGCGGAGGCGTCGCTGTCATCGGATTCTGTGCTGGTGAGTGAGATGCGGTCCTCTGGGGCTGTGGACATGCGATAGAATTTTTCGCATGTGGCGGCGTCCATGCCTCGGTCATCTGGTCGTAGGTTGCTCATGTCTCCATGGTGCTCTAGCTTGGGGCGTCTCGATCGGATGACATCGCGCTTCGAACGCTTTGGGTTGGGGCTGGGGGTGTCGGTGACGCTGACGCTGACGGTGTGACTGCTTTCGTCGACTGGGTTGACAGTGGCCGTTTCTTCATGTGGCTCGCTTGATGGGACGGATTTGACTGGGTTGACAGTGGCCGTTTCTTCATGTGGCTCGCTTGATGGGACGGATTTCGAGTGTGCTGGGCTTTCAGGCTTGGGACGTCCGGATCCGATGACGGCGCACTTGGTCTTGGGACGGCGAGGGCCTTTGAGGTCGGTGAACTGGATGTCGACGTCGGGAGTGCTTCCATAGTGCAGATCTCTGGCGACGGCGAGACGGACGGGAGTTCGTGTGCGCCCCCATGGTGTTCCTCTCCATTCATTGAAAGCGTCGGGGCTTAGGGGAGTGTCGTCAGGGAGGAAAGTAAGAGAGTTGCAGTGTTCTGTTGGGGACACGGGTCCGTTGTAGAGGAAGGCTGGGAGATGAAAGATGGACTGGACGTTATTGGCCATCTTGCTTGATATCGCTGGAGTTGAGATGTTGTTGCTGTTGCTGTTGCTGGATGCCTGTTGAGTTGTCTTTGCTAGTTGGGACTGGTAGAATAGCTGTGTCTGTGTTCTGGAGTTGGTTGTAAGATGGGAAGATCAGGAGATTTCTCGAGGTCTAATATACAAGTCGAAGAAATATTGCAATTGTCGATTTGACTCATGGGGCTTGGATCTTGGCTGCCCAGAGAATTGGTATATTCGAATATATGTATAGGCCGGCCATTTCAGGCAACGTTGCCAAGTAGTTAAATGCATTACTCCGGAATTTTTCTGAGTGAGAGTCAACCCTTGCCCTTTTTGTATTTCATCGTGTGATATTCGGTTCAGAGATGAGGTGATTTGAGAGTGACGGGTTGGGCCAAGTTTGAGGATGCCAATCAAGGCGAAGGGTGCTTATAGTAGACGAGATGGATTTCAAGGCATCGACCTCATTGCTTTGGACTAAGAATGGACACGAGATGGTACACAACTGTAGCTGGGCTATAGTAGATTGCTTTGAACTGAGACACAACCCAACCTGTGAAAGTAGACAAATCGATTTTGGAGGCTTGTTATATATCGATCCGCACCGGAGCAGAATCCAAGAAAGAGACTAAGGAATAGACACAAGGTATTAGTGCAATGGACTGGACTGCGATAGAGCCCGAACGTGTCGTCAGAAACGATGTGCGTAATACACAAAGCTTGGGCTTGAAGCGATGGGAAAACCATACTCTCGAGAGGATAAATTCAAACTCTGATTTATGGGAGCTCTGAGCTCTCTGCAAACCGAGCGTCATTCCAGGCAGTCGCCCTCCTTGATTGGCACTCACGGTCACCTTTGAGCGCAGATGGCTCGGTCTTACCCACAGAGGCACCTTAGCACCATCGCTGCTTTTGTGTTCCATCTTCCAATCACCTTCCTCAATTCTTCGATTTATTCTTCGATCCCTTCTTCTTCCTCGACCTCGAGGCCCTCTTCTCCGTCCTTTTCGCCCTCCTCGCGTTCAACTTTCGCCATGCCTGAAATCGACCACGTTTCTTAAATTCTCCGACCTTCACTTGCGCCCTCTCTGCCACCCTCCCAATATGCCGATTCGACTCTCGGTATTGATAGCCCGGCCTTATTCCCATCTGCTTCAACTCCGGCATCTTTGCCCTTGTCCTTTTATCCTGCTGCCTTAATGTTCCGCCTTGCTCTGTCATGCCTCCAACCTCCAGTGCCTCATTTCCTTCTCCGCTAGTGACTCTTGGGGGGGTGATTGTAGCAAGCGTTCCCATCTCCCTCTCCCTTCCCACCAACCCCAAACGCCGATTCCTTGGCTTATTCCTCGGCACCGGCAACTTCATCCCCCTCTCAAACACAACCCCAATATACTTCCTCTTCGGATGCGTTTCGGGATCCTTGTAGAAGCAGACGTACCCCTTCTCCTTTGCAAATATCGTGTGGTCCCGACCCATGTCGCAATTCTCGCCGGGAAACCAGTGTGTGCCGCGTTGGCGGAATATGATGTTGCCGGGAACAACGAGCTCGGAGGCTCCCTTTTTGGCGCCGAGTCGTTTGCCGGGGCCCTGGGCGGCTTTGTTGGCGCGGCCTTGTGAGGCGTGAGAAGCGGGGCGGGAATGGTAGAGTGGGAGGAGGGGGAGCCATTGGAATAAGGGACAGGTGTGAGAGGGCAGTGTAAGACGTGGTGATCGGAGACATAGAGGACGCATGTTTGTGGTAGATGAGGCGCTTGGGATGCAATGAAGTTGACCTCTGCCGTCGCGAGATCAAAAAGAGGACCCACACTAGAATTAGTCAGCAAGGTTCTGCAAAACATCGAACAGCTGGCCTCTCTTTCCTCAACCTCGACATTGCCGAACATCCTGCAATGAGGGTCATACAGTTCGCTCTACTTTGCTCGCTAGCTGCTCTAGCATCCGCGCAATTTCAATTTTTCGAGCAAATGTTCAATCAAGGTGGCCAACAACAGCAACAGCAGCAGCAGCAACAACAACAGCAAGCCCAGAACGTCGCCAGCGATTCGGAATGGTATCAGCGAACATACGAATCCGGTAGCGTTCTTCCATTTATCCCGTCTTATAAAGAACCGCGCTAATTCAATCCTCAATCGCAGCCCGTTGTTCGAATTACCTCTGCCCCGGCACCCTCGCCTGCGTTCACTTCCCGCATCATTGCCCTTGTCCATTCCCGGCTGTCGAAGATAAAGTCGAGCTGGGAGACGGAAGTGCGATATGTGTCAGTAAAGGAGGTTGGAAACAGGGAGAGGCGGCGAGGAAGATTGAGTTGGCGAGGAAGGGAATGCTGTGATGGGGGATCGGAAAACATGGACGTTTGACCTGCATCGATCGCATTTTTCAAACGAGTCTTCATATACTTTCAAGATACTTATACCACGGGTTCATTATATGAGAGACCGGTTTCGATGGCCAGGCAATTCTTGTCATGCTCGACATCATCCGGCACGGAAAGGATCGATTTCCTTGGAGTTTGAGACTCTGGCTATGGTATATGTGGCATGACTGGAGCTTCCCTCGCCTGGCCCAAGCGCTGGGATGCCGGTGCATATATTTTATTCTCTTCTCTAAATACCATTGCGCTCTGTCCTGGTATCCAGCCATGACCATACATAACCCGTTTTGCACTTCAAAGAGAAATTTCCCCTCTTTCCTGCCATCTGCGGATCTCTCTAGATCCACTGTAGCTAACGACTAAGTTCAATGATCTGTTACGGTAATGAAATGAGAGATCTGTAAGACTTGGGATTGGAAGGGCCAGAGTGGGCTGGGGATAATTATTTGCAAAATCTCTCCAAATAAAACCTCTCCAGAGGGAAGTCTGCTTCAGCTGTGGCTGCGGATGGGTAGGGGGTTACATGGTGGGTCTATTACAAGCTACGTCTGAAGCTTTTGACCTCAGCCAACGCACAGAGCGTTCGGCTCTTATGAAGTGTCTCCTTGATAATTGCAATTCGTTTGTGTGCGTCCATGGTGGTATGTACATTTGGCTGTGTATCATCCTGCACGATTTCTTGATCTTCCAAGGTATTCTACCATCGAAAAAAGACTTAAGGCTTGGTTGCTTGGTCCTTTGTTCCTGTGCCTTTCACAAGACCGCCAGAGCCTGCAAAGCCGATCTAGAACCATCATCAAATACAGTCTCATAGAACTTGGGCAGCTTCGTCTAGAGACAGAATGGAAGTCTCCAGAACAGGCAGGGAAGTGCGTGAGGTTTTCCGATGCTGCTCGTAACGTCGTTTGTTGCCTTCTTTGGCACAGAAAAGGTTTTTTATACAGCCATGGGCTCCCTTCGTTTGTACTCAAGCTACCTGCGCTTCCCAGAACAAATCCAGTACTGCTTCCTGATACTGAAAACATGGACGAAATAAGTGGTGAGCCGGAACGAAGCCCTGAAGACCAGATCATAGCTTCGTTCTTGAAGGAGCGCTCACCTACATATCGGAGCCTGAGGGAAATCAGCACCATAGTAAGTAATCCATGAATGGCTACTACAGCCATCGAGAAACCCATCTAAAGGGACCTAGCGCTAATGGAGACGATAGGTATGGAGTGACTCCAGGGCTACAGCATACTTCGCCAGGGAACGTGGTTCCGCAGATAACCCCGGTGATGAAGGTCGTAGAAAGCATTATAATCTCATGAGGGGTATCGGAGACGAAATGCAGAGAGAAACCGGTGTCCTGGAGCTTCAGCGTCCCAGGCCCGAGGTACTTGATCTCTGTATGGCCCCTGGCGGCTATACTGCATCCATTCGCAAGTACAGTCGTCAAGCGAATGTCTCTGCAATAACGTTGCCCGAAGATCAGGGTGGTCTGAAGATCCTCGTACCTCATGGCAATCGTACTCAAGTGGAAGTGTTGGAAGCCGATATTATAATGTTCGCAGCGGAGTTCGGAGTGGTAGAGATTCCAGATAATCACCCAGAAGCTTCAAAGTTCTCCAACGAGAAACCATTTCAAAAGAAGCTGTTCGACCTCGTCTTCTGCGATGGGCACGTCACTCGCACACGGAATAGGCCATCCAACTGTCCACCCACAGAACTTTCCCGACTTGAATGCAGCCAGCTAGTTCTTGCGATGCAAAGGATCAGAGAAGGAGGCACTCTCATAATCCTGCTTCACGGTGCTGATGTCTATCACAGCGTCAAATTGCTCGAAATCTTCGGCCATTTTTCCCACATACAAGTCTTCAAACCAGTCAGAGGTCACACGAGGAAAAGTTCCTTCTATCTCGTCGCAAAGGAGATGCAGCCTGGTCGCCTTGCAGCCAGGGCTGCAGTCACCCAATGGAAGCAGAATTGGAAAGATGCAACTTTCCCTGCTCCTGCCGAGGACGAAATTGATGCACATAACGAGACTGAAGCCTTGCTCAAGCAGGTTGAGCGCAAGGAAGACTCGTCAAAGCTTGTGGAGAACTTTGGTGCACGACTCATTCAGTTGGGGGAGCCAATATGGGAGATACAAGAGAAAGCTCTGAAAGCCTTGATGGAAAGATTGGAACAAGGATCAGCAAAGCCTGGCATGGAGAAATCGGCCGAGACCTCGGAAGAATGTACTACCGCAGACCCTGCAGTTCTGACCGGATTGGCTAGAGACACCGACGACTCGTCCTAGTTAGTGTTGGATTCAGCCAATAGGAGGCCAGCATGGCTACACTAATAAGTCCCTACTGGTGTTGACTACCCCTCACAGTGGCAATGGCTCATGGCCTTGGCATGGGTTTCACATGATAAATAGGTAGACCTCCTACACCTTCTTACATCCTTCATAGAACATCACAATAGAATACTATTCTACATATATATAAGACCACTGAATACACCCATTATTCAATAGTCAGAAGCGTCAGTTGCCGATACCTTGGAGGAGGGCGTCAACGTTGAGACTAGGGGTGTTGATAAGCAAAAGCGAGAAGATGTCAACGAGGATGCCTTTGCGGAGGGTAGTCATGCCACTATGGGCCCGAGAGGTTCTGGACAAGCTTCAAACGACCCAGCGGAATTCCGCAGGGGCTGAGGTTCCTGAGGATAGAAGGACCTTGCCTGTGGAAGTAGCCAAGAGCTCGCTCAATTCTGATGATGTCTCTGTTGCATTTGGGGGGTTGGAGCTTGGTGACTGACGGTCTGTGCTTTTGTGCGATTGGGGCTTTGGAAACTGAGGGTTCATTTTTGGCGCAGGCGTAACGCGCATGTTTGTTGAACTTACAGCATGGTCAAAGTCTTGAGTGGCATTTCATGGTGATTATCTGCTTATTCTTGTGCAAAAGAACGAATCAACATAGCATTAGCTGAATTGAGGCCCAGATAGACCCATATGTACTCTATGTCCCCAACTGGCAGAGAACCAATCTGAGGCTAGCGTAAAGCTTGCATATGCGGGGACCGCTCCAAAGTACGTCCCCAGGTATCGGTTTCTTCCGGCAAAGCTACCTCTGTCTCGTCTTCCTTCCCGGCTTCGAATGGGTTTTGTGTCGTTCTCGGATATTCCAACCTGACCTACTTCAAGATCTGGACGTTGTTGAAGAAGGTATGTTGCATCTGGCACTATAGAATGAGAGTTGGGAGGGAGGATCCGAAGCGGTAGCCGGCTGCGTTCAATTATGTTGTAAGTATCGGTCCCGAAAGCTTCCACAAGACCATCCCGAGTTTATTAATTTCTCTGACCTGCGCTTGTGGAATGGTAAAGTGTTTGACCCTGTAATCTGTGCCGTCCAGACCCTTCGCACACACAAGGCGCATATTGCGGACTACCGGCGGTGGGTGGAAGCTAGCCAGCTGATCTTAGCAATACAGCGTATTAAGAGCGGCGGTACACTCATCATGCCTCTTCACGACGTTGGAGTCTATGAAACTATGAAAATACTCAGCGTCTTTGACGATACTGCCAAGATTGAACTCATCAAGCCAGTCTCGAGGCACCGAAAGAGGAGACTTCTACCTTATTGCCAAGAACGTGTAGCTTAGGCACCCAGAAGCAGTGGCCGCAGTCAATGAATGGGAGAAGATGTGGGATGGTCTTACCTTTCCCGCATTCGACGAAGATAGACAAGAAGACCCGCTAGAGATCGCTCGTGCGCGTGAGCTTGCGGAAGGAGCAAATGATCTTTTTGCGAAACTCAGTAAACGGGTCGTTAAGCTGGGGAAACCGATGTGGGAGATGCTAAAAAAGAGGCTTTGGCAAGCGCGTCCTGGACTAAGAAACAGGGGGGAGAAACGGAGTCCGATCATGACCCTGTTGGTCAAACGTCTACTGCCGTGACTGAAAATGCTGCTGCTGCTGCTGCTGTGCGTGACTCAGACGAAGATCTGGATGACGCCGGAGATCCTGATGACGTGGACACTGCTCCTGTGTTGGAGTAGCGATCAACGCCGATGGTAAATGATCGGCCAAAGTATGCTGAGATGTCTATCGTGATGAAGCGTTTGGATGTGGACGGTTGATGATTGTTAAGGTTCTTTATTGTGACTTACCGGCTGATGTACGCGTTATCATTATTTCTCGTAGGCTCATAGATGCGATCGACACCCATTATGCTCCATGGCTTCCACCTCCGCCCACACCATCATTGTCACCTTCAACAACGATCCTCCCCTCCACCCTGGGTGCAATGCCTTTAGTCCAATGAGGCAAGTCCCACTCTCCAGTCTTCTCTCCTACCATTCCGACGTCCCTCCTCTCTATCCCCGCCAGGTCCATCCATCTCCTTGTATAGACTCTGGCAATATGCATCTCCCTCCCCTTCTTCTCTTCCACACTTCCGACACTACCGACACTTGATGCTAGGCCATCATAATGGTGGTCTTTCTCGTCATCGGTATCGCTATCCACGAGTCTGCCGTCAACGTCCGTCTTAGCTTTTTCGGCGTAGGCTCGTACAATGCCAGTGCGATTATGCTTGGTTCCGTTCTTGAGTGTACTGGGCTCATGCACTTTGCCGCCAGCGTGGAGACGGTCGTGCACGCCGCCCCAGTGGCGATGCAGACTGGCTGACCAGCGTGCCCATTTTCCGAGAACTTTAAGAGACATGAAATACTGCCTGAGCACCATACTGATTAGTATGCCGTTCTCTTCGGAGACGATCTCTTCAGCCTCGCCGCCTTCGCTGCGAACAAGGAGAGAGTCATAGCCGTCTTTGCCACGGCCCATGTAGCCCCTCGTCGCCATGGTGTATGACTTGTCGAGGACTAAAGGCTCCCCATGGATTTTCGTCCATGTGACCCTGGATCCCGGAGCTAGGTTTGGGTTGTATGCGAAGTGGATATTCGAGACTTGCGGGAATCGACCTTCGAGCGCCGGGACTAGACGGACAGAATTCTCGAGCGCTTCGAGTATCGCTTTGCCGTTGATCCGCAGGACGACGACTGGATCCTCGAAGGGAAAGCAGTTGAGTATGTCTTTTAAAAGTAAGACGCCAGGTGGGTATATCTGATCGCCACGGACGGTGCCGGCGGCCATGAGGGCGCAATCTGCATCGTAGTAGTGCCGCATCAGGTCGCAGACGAAGTTGCCTAAATTGCTCTCCTTCGTTCTAACAGTGGTAAAGCGGCCATCCAGTGGCACGGCTGTGTATCCGATTGGTTTCTCAAGCTTGTGCCTCAGGCTCGACGTCAGCTTGTCAACAAGCTGGATTGTGGCTTTGTCTTCCGTAATCGCACGGGTGATGTCGCGGCGGATGATATCAAAGTCCCAGCCTGGCTGATCGTTTGCTTTTCGGCGCGCTTCTATGTAGCTGAGCTGCTTGAAGTCGGTACCTGATCTGAGGACGTGGGTGTCGTTGATGATTTGATGCGCATAGAAGTGATCATGGCCTCCTAGGACCAAGTCGATTAGGCCTGGTGGTGTCCTTTCTGCTAGCTTGATGTCGCTAGGCTCTCGGGCGTGAGTTAGAGCGATGATAATCTGTGCGCCTTGGGCGCGAAGTTCCGGTATTAGTTCTTTTGCGGTTTCGCTTGCAGACTTGTAGTTCAGGTTTGAAGGTAGGGAGTTGATGGTGTCCAGCCTGTATTTTTAGCGTAAACGACTAGAAAGGAACTGATAACAATACATCTCGAACTTACCATTCCCGCTCTCCAAGTCCAACAACACCAATCTTGATACCATTGGAAGCTTCCAATAATACGGTTTTATCGCAGCCTCCTAAAGCCTGGTTTTCTCCTAGACCAGGATCCAATACATTTGCCAGTAGCCAAGGAAAATTGCACTGGTTTTTCAAGTGCCTGAATTGAGCCACACCAAAGTCTAAGTCATGATTCTAGCAGCAAAAAGTGTCAGACAAGCAAGAGGTCCAGCATATGAGCACATTGATGAGAAGGATTCCATACTCACACCCACGCACGCCACAGCTGTCTTCAGATTGTTGAGAACAGGCACCATATGCCTACCTTTAGTCACTGAGCTCTCGAGGCTGGGATTGAAGGCGTCTCCAGAGAATAGCGTCAAAAGTCCTGGCAGGTTCGCATATTGCAGATGTGAGCGGTAGTGGTTCGCCACAGTCTGGAAGCGTGATATTCCTCCAACTGGCTCCGCCGAACCAGATCTGATATCTATTCAGTACAGCCTCCGGAGTATCGAACAGAATAAATTGCTTAGGTGCAACATACTCAATGTGATAGACGTCATTGAAGTGCAGGAAGCGGAGATCTGGGGGACGTTCGTGTTGGCGGTGACTTTGCCAAGTGACAGATTCCGAGTCTGGAAATTCTTTGCCAGACATCTTACATTGACGATTGTGATAGCACTGTTCCCCCGTGATGAGTAGTCAGAGTGCAAAGGAAAGCAATCATGTCCCAAAAGTGGCAAAAGCAATGCAAAACATTTGACGCGTTTGCCGCAGCCGCGGGGACAAAGAAGGAGAACAGCATCAGTAAATCCAGTAATGCTTTCGTAGCCAGTACCATGTAAACCTGTCCTGATAGCTTTTGTGGCCACTGTCTCTTCGGTTCTGAGAGCGCGACCGTAAAAGAGGGATAGTAGATCAAAGTATTGGACAATTAACTCGTCGTAGACTATAGTCATTTCTGGAGTACATTGCCCCATGGTGACGGCGTTGAGATGGTAATAGATTATGTCATTGTGGGGTGAGTCTGGAATAATGCCGGGCAAACTGGGATCGTGGACAACTCCAGATGGTCCGTCGAAGAGGATGTCTGGGTAGATGACCGGTGCTGCTGCAATACTGGGAGGACATATGAGTCTTTTTCGAACTTAACTGTTCTCTGTTGCTGAAAAGGAGGATCAGGGATCGAACGTCGCCTGGCGGGGTTCCTGGAGATCTTGCAGATCTCCAAAGGGTCGAAGAAGTCGGAAACGAGGGATTACGATTCGAATCGCGTGGACGAGAAGCAGAATTTTGTTGAGGAGTTTCAACCGGTATTCGAGGGCGCTTGGGCTGATCATAAAGATCGGCGACGCCCGATTATCAAAGTTTGAGGCAGTATCGGCTTTAGTATTCAATAAGTCTCTACATAACAATGTCTGTCACGTTTGATTTATGTTGGTGGCTGTGGTCTCGCTCTTCGCTTCTCATGACATTTCTATATGGCCTATATGCTTCTTCGCTTAAGGGACTAAACGCAGCTACCTATATGTGCTTTCGTAAGTCCAGCCGGCCATCGAAATCTTGAGCACAACCCTTCTGATCTCACACTGTAGTCTCATATCTTTCACGATCCATTGCCCAGCAACGGCTGGGTCTCTCCATCGTCTTTCTCACCTTTAGGCATTCCACGGTAGTCACCTTTGCCCACTTTCAATACACTCCAAGTTCCGTGCTCCTTAGCATCTTCAAAGAAAGCTTGGTTCTCTTCGAAGGATCTGCCGCCGGTCTCTGGACAGTATAACTGCAGAGGTTCGTTAGTTCCAGTCAGTGAGAGCTGGTTGTGGAAAATAGCTTACCCATGTCCACCACGCGGCGAAGAGGTTTGTGACTGCAAACACCAAGAAAAGCCAGTAACTCAAATTGTTGAAGCCAATAGGTGTAAGCAGGGTCACCGCAAAGTTGGCAAGTCCCCAGGTGATGACCGAAATTGCGGAGCCTTGAGCGCGGGACGTTGAGGGGAAAATCTCCGTCGGAATCAGCCAGGGCTGAGACAGCCAGCCAATGCCAAAAATCCCCGTTGCTATGTATAGAATGACGCTGCCCACGATGGCAATCGGCATGTCAGGTATATTAAGTTTGTCGGCGTTTTGTGCCAGACCACCGAGCAAGGTGAGGATCAAGAAGGAAGTCGCCATTCCAAAGGCTCCCCCAACCATCATTACGCGCCTGCCCACACGATCGATAAGTAGCCAGGCCAATGTCATCAGGAAGAAGTAGGAGATGTAGTTGCCTTGGGTGAGGTATTCCGAAACGGTAACGCCTAAGCCCAGGAGTTCAAAGATTTGCGGACCGTAGACACTGACGGCGCCATATCCTGTCAATGCCTGGTTAACTTGGCCCATGACAGTCACCATTGTCGGGTGGAATTGACTGCTTCCAGGCCAGATCATATCATTGTAGCCGATGGAGTGACTCGATTCGTCATCATGGGCCTGCTTGAGCTCATCAAATTTGCCCTTCATATCGTCTTCTCCATATATGTCAGTCAGGGCCGATTTGGCGTCCTCTTCTCGTTCATGAAAGATGAACCATCGGGGTGTTTCCGGGAGGCGGTATATGAAGGATAGTAGGAGGACAGGGTAAATCTGCATAGCAATGATGGGTATACGCCAAGCTGATAATCATTAGCTAGGTATGTGTGCAAGCACTCAGAGAACATGCCCCATTGATTGTCCTTCCCGAGGCTACTGGTGACACCAAGGTTGATGGCGAAGGCCATGTTCAGACCGAAGATGTTCGACTGGAATTCCTTTGCCAAAGCTTCTCCTCGTCCACCCTCGGAATTCAATTCTGAAGAGTAGACCGGAATGACAGCATCGATACCACCAACGCCTAAGCCCATGATGATGCGTCCCAAAAACATCATAGTCATTGCACCTCTGCTGTAGCCCAGGCCCGCAACGAACATAAACAGGTTGCCCAAAGAGGTTACTGCCAAACAAGCAAAGATACTGGGCTTTCTGCCTCCCATGTCTGCCAACAGGCTGGCGAACACAGCTCCGACTGCACAGCCGAGGTAGTAGACTGAGACGATGACACCAACGAGGGGATCTTCCCCATCGATGCCCATAGTGTCCAGATAGTTATAATTGGTGTTGATGAGGGACATCATACCCTGGTCATAGCCATAGAGGGCGATCGCCGTGGCAGAGAAGAGTACGATCTCTTTCTTCTTGTCCATGAGCGCCTGCGTGAAGACTTTTAAAGACGTCATTTTGGCGGTATTGCTGGGGGGGCTCTCTTCTGTCCAGGCGTATGTTCAATGCCTTTGATGAGATGTTGGGAAAGATTGCGAGGGTCAAAAGGCCATTTGAATGTTGTATACACTTTGGCTGAAGAGTTTTTAACACCTTTACCTTGCTCCGCATTAATTTGACCCACTCTTGACGTGATCTTAGCGGCGGTGCGGGGCCTCTCCGGACCCTGCAGATTAAGGTTCTGAGTTTTTGAGCTAAGGGAAGAGCCGAGATCTACTTAGTCATCAAAAATCTTGGGCAAGCAGCCAAATGTCCATCACTGTTGGACCTATACGCCTCTACGGTTTACCGTTTGTATGGGCATCTTTTTCTTTGTTTTAAGAACATTTGGCGGTGACTTGTACAGATATGTCAACCATCAAGCCTTCAGTAGACCCGGTGGGCGAGGGAAGCAGCACTCGGGCTGAAGCCGCGGAAGCCACACCTGACCGCCGAGAAGAGGAGGCACCTAAGGTACATGAGGTGGAGAAGATGGCATCACAGGACCCTCACAAAAACTCTGCATCTACTACATCTGCCCCACCATTGCCCGAAGAGCAGGGGGTGACTGCACCTCCTCTACCAATGGAAGCACCACCTGTGGACGATGACGGCTGGGATCCTGTCTGGGATGACACTGCCCAAGCTTACTACTTCTACAACCGCATCACTCAGCAGTCACAATGGACTAACCCTCGCATACCGGACGTTACCCAGCCTGCAGCACCAGGCGTCGGCAGCTACGACAGAATACCGGACAGAGCACCAGGAACCGAAGACTTAGCGCCAGCACTACAGCGGCCATACGGAGGATACGACCCGGCAATACATGGCGACTACGACCCCACTGCTTCTTATGCACAAGAACAACAGGTGCCGGAAGAGGCTAATGGACAGCCTGCTGATCCTGCAGCTATCTACACAGCGACTGGGGTGTTCAATCGGTTCACGGGGAAATGGCAGCCTCATAACATCAACCCGGAGAACCATAATGATGAGAATAAGAGCAAGCGGCAAATGAGTGCTTTCTTTGATGTAGATGCTGCGGCAAATAGCCATAATGGAAAGAGTCTGAAGGCGGAAAGGAGTGGGAAGAAGTTGAGCAAGCAGGAATTGAAGGCTTTCAAGGAAAAGAGGAAAGAAAAGAAGGAGGAGAAAAGGCGAGCTTGGTTACGGGACTGATTGAACGTTCATGGATGCGACACGACTTGTACATATATCATTCTGTCAAGCGAGAGCGTCTGTCTCGATGCTTTCGGCCTGTTGTTGGCCTTCATCGTGGGAGCCGATGGACATTCAGGCTTATGTAACATGGACTTAGGAGCCTCTCACACGACCCTACTTTTCCTGTCGAATGTAGGACTCATTCTCATGGTTTAAAAAATTGACTCAAATATCGCTGGTAGTCCCTCGCGGTTTTGAATTTCTTTAACATTTGACTTCCACTTCCTCCGTCTCCATCACCAACGAACATCCCCCCTCCTCCTACTTCCCCCAAAATGCCCACCGCAACACTCTCTACAATCACCACCGATCAAATTGATGATCTCCTCTACCTAGCTCGCCTCGGCGAGACCACAGACCTGACAGCGGGCGTCAACCTTTTCGCCAAGAGCCTCTCCGCTACTCCCGGCATAATTCTCACAGCAGCAATTGACAAGGACAGCGGCAATGGCTTACTGCATATGGCTGCTGCGAATGGGCATACAGGTCTATCTCGCTCAACGATTGGCGTGCGCCGTGGCCACAATGTTGACGAGGACCTAGATACGTTGAAAGAACTCCTCACTCTCTCCGCCTCCAACCACGCCCTTTCACTCAATCTACAGAACGCATCGGGCAATACGCCAATGCACTGGGCGGCTCTCAATGGCCACTTGCCCGCCGTCAAGCTACTCATAGAAGCTGGCGCGGATCCGACGGTCATAAACAAGGCTGGGAAAGATGCGGTGTACGAAGCCGAGGCCAATGAGAAGAATGAGCTTGCTTCCTGGTTGCTCACAGAGGGAAAGGGGCTGGAGAGTGCGGTTGGCGGCAGTCTGAATCAAATTGCACCGGGAGTAGGGGGAGAAGGCGATGCGGAAGGGCAGCTTGAGGAGGTGATGAAGGAGGGGGGGACGGAAGAGCAGCCTTGAGTTGTGACTTCAGCATACGAGGGTATTTGCTGCTCATCCTGGACTCTCTTACCGGTGCCCTGCCCATACAGTAGGCATCAGCAGCCCGTTCATGCAACCTTGCATTTTGCCTGATGCTTGGTCTTGCCCGTCAAACAGTGCCGCCGCCTCCCTCTCGCTCACACGCAACCTTGTCTCTTCAGCTGCGCCCAAATTGCCATTCAAACATGCTCAGAGAAGGAATCTAGGTCCTCAACTCGGAGAAAGATCCAGTTAGTATTGACGTTCCCTTGGTACATGGATTGAACGAAGATCCTGCGGAGGCCTGAACCAAAGGACGTGTCTCTTGGCCAGGGGCTCTTCTTCCTGAGGACTTGCTGAACGCAAGAATGATTTCGTGGGGCCACCATTCTCGAGTTGCTGACCATCACGATCTCACTAGCCGGATCGGGTCTTATGGCTATGTGGAGACTTTCTGTATGACGTTGCCTAACTTAGGAGTAAGGAAGATCGAGTGAGACAGTCTGTTTCTCCCTGTAGGACTGCACTTACTGCGTAATCCGTCATTCAGGAGTCTCGAATTTTCGTTTTCGTTGGCCATAGCTTGGGAGGTCTCGTGGTCATACAGGTATGCTGAGCCTGGCCAATTCAACAGCGGCTTTTCCTTGAGAATAATCTGGATCTGGTCAACTCTAGCCCCTGTCTTTGGTAGGCTCTCACTCGGTTTTCTGCGCTCCGCGGATGCGTCTATACATGCACAAGGGCGTGATCTTCCTGGGCACGCCGCGCAGGGGGACTGACGAAGGTGGATTGGCTTTCTTTGCCGCTAACGCCCTTAAAATATTCGGCAATCCAAACATGAGAATGCTTCGCAACATGAAGCGGTAATCGGATGTCCTCGAGCAAGAAAGGGGCTTTTTTGCAATAGTTGGCAACGAATTGCTCGTAGCCTGGTCCTATGAAGCGTACTCCACCGAAAAAATTCACGGTCAGCACTTGCTCCTCGACCAGTAACGAGCGTCTACATGCACTACATGCATAATTCATTCCCATTGAGGCTCTGTGTTCAATTATCTTTGATGTCATTCTCTAGATGTTGTGGCCTAGCCAGCTTCAAATGTTGTTGATCTTTTCCACATTCTTTCGCCCTCAGGGAGATTCATTGATAAACTTCTCGCGCGTTTGCTCTCCTGGTCTTAATCAACAAGTCTGCATGTTGAAAGGGTTAGACCGTCCGAATTTTCTTGTTGTCTCGAATATCAGAACCTAATTGTGTCTTCTACTCCTTTGCCTACGCAAGTTGATGTAAGCTATCCAGGTATATTACCTTTACGAGGTGACTTCAAAGAAATGCTCAGATGCATAATTCCAGCACCCCTCGATGTATGCTCATGGTACTACTAGGAGTGCAATGACACGTCTGAATTATTCAGCATTTACGTTCTTGACGACTATTTTCGAGTTTCTGGTGCCACTGCCAGCAAAGCTTGCAGACATACTTTGTAATCCTGGTTTCTGGCTATTCAGAAACGTAACGACACAGGCTTAGTCCCCAGAATCGCTGCCGATCACAGACTTTCGGGCCCCCAAGATCGTAATGTACGGACTTCACTTGGTATTTATCGATGCCTTGGGTATCAACCTGTTTCCCCGAAGCAGAGCAAGGGCTTCCTACGGCTCGTAGACGTCCTTCGCAGGGAGTGGTTGGAAAAGGCGCGGATAGCTTTGCTTTCGAATATTAACAATTGACCTTTATGGGGGCTTTCATGTCAGCGTTACCATTACATATTTGACACCTCAGTAATTAAGGTAGTCGTACAGCAGAATCTCGCGAGGATCTGGGGATCAGGGCCTTGGCAGCTATTTTTAGAGGCGATCGTCATTTAGTGCCGGCTCGACTTCCGTCAACCTCGAATTGTAACTTTCATTCCCGGTTGTTAAGGAGCTTCCTTGCCAAGTTTTCAAATCCAAAGATTCGTCAGATTTGCATTGGCAATCCAAGCCGGCAGACATAACGTTGACGACGACCCAAGCAGCAGTACCAGAAGTTAGAGTCCCATGTGCCTAAGCAGTTTTTCTTACTCCGTACTCTGAGAATATTCGCGTGTATGAAGCGCTCATGTTCCAGTCTTATCGCTGTTCGTAGGGGTATCAGCGAGTGGTAGGTATTTGAAAGGCACAAATCTTCAGGATTTAGATTGGCGACGGCCAGCCATTCGCTTTCTCGATTGCTAACCGCCTTTCTCGACGGCTGAAACTTCCCTCGAGGCTTTCAAGGCTGTGCCCAAATCCTGGTCCGGCGCGGGCTTAGCCCCTAGCCTCACCATTCAAAACACACCAAAAATGCATGGCCATCTAACGAGGCTCAACTCGTCTCGGGTGAAATCCTGCAGCTATATGGACGCTGCAGATCAAACGTGCTGATTGGAGCCATAGATCTTGGAAGTGCAGGAAAATCCTGTTGGGGAAGGAGCTGCGCTGGGGGCTGTGCCTCGTGTCTACATGCATATATCATACCCACCCTTCATTTTCAATCCTTCCTTCTGGTCACAAAGTGTCACACTACTTCTGTCCCAAAAGTTGAAGTATTCTCATTTCTCTTCCAAAACAGCATCTAGAGAAAAAAATTGCCAGCCTACCTCGCCTGCCCTAAACCTCTCCAGCCTCGCCTCTCCCTTCGTTATAGTATCTCGCCGCCATGTCTATCCTCTCTAACCCCCGGACGCTCTACTTTACCCGCATCGCCCAGTTCCTCTTCGGCGTCGGTTTCCTCATCCTCATCTGCTACTCCGGCGTTCATCGCGGCTGGTGGACCTCCATCGATGGGCCCCTCGCCGTCGGCGTCATAGCTTCCATCTTCACTTTCGCTCTCACCTTACATAATCTTATCACTCACCACATGAATAGCAATCCGTTCTCTGGAGGTTCCGCCACACGGACTATGATAAGACTGGCAGCGGAGGCCCTGGTATTCTTGCTATGGATTGCAACGGCCGTGCTGATGCTGAGACATAAGGGCGGATGCCCTGAACCAGATCAGACGACTGGATACCCTAGGCACGACACCAAGAACGAAGCTGGGCAGAAGGTCAATATCTGCGCGACCAGTGAAACGTCCTTCTACCAGTGGACTGATCAGCCGAGGACGGAGTGGAATGTGGCTGTTGCCTTTGATTTCATTGAGATGTAAGTCTTAATGTCTTCCACCGACAATGATGTATGCGAAGTCTAATTTGGTGAGTAGTGTTGCCTTCATCCTCTCCGCATTGCTGGTCTTCAAGGACGACAGGGCGAGCAAGGTCTCGGGCGGGACGAGCTATGCTTGAGCTGGACTGGTTGACTGCCACACGAATACAGAACGAATGGTCTTGACGCAGTGGACGACGGCGTTAGTGAGCATGGCATCTCGTCAAAAGGGCGGACTTTACGACATAATGCAAATTAGATGATCTTCGATACATTTATTCGGATACCCTACAGTTTGGTCGTATTATCGTTCTTGGTGTTTCATCTGCTGGACTGTCTCTCAGTGTATCATGACCTTTCATTTCCTAGAACGTCTCTTTCTTCACCTGGCCTATTGACGTTATTGCCCTTCTACCGCTGTGCCTTGGCATCCAAAATGGTACTAGTGTTCTCTTCTAGCATTGTGCGCCGACTTGGCTCCCTCCCGTCTTCCCCTAGCTGATTCACACAACCATCAGACTCGCCCCACACCTCGAAACAAAATTGTTGTTCTCTCACATCTCTTGTCACTTCGTCTGGCTTCGCTCGAATCTTTCAACGTCCGCTAGCGCTTAGCAGCCTTTGGACGGTCCGGCCTCTAACAAATCGTCTCGCAACACTGCCCCGATTGACATTGAACCTTTCCGAACCTGCACGCTCCCGATACATCCAACCAGGCATTCTGTCTCAGTGTTCCGTTTCAGTCACCATCAGATCGAGGTCGGTTCCGCACGGCCACGGACTCCACCCCTAGCGATGAAATAGCACAAAGAAGAATATGGAACGCCAACACTCCGCTCCACTCCCGCCGATGCAACATTGACGTCTATCGCGCCTGCGGATTGAGGCCCTCGCCCCGTCCTGGATGCCTCCCGTTGCGAGATCGTCTATGGCACTTTCTAGTTTCTACCAAGAGTGGGAGAATCACGTCTAGAACATCTTCGCCAGGTCCGCGGGATACAGCTAAGCCTGGCACCTCCGTCGACGAAGGCAGTTATGTACGTGGTATCGGTGTAGAGGATGTTAAGTTGTGTCTTCTTGGCTGACGAATATCATCACGGCGCTACGAGTCTCGGCGTGGGCGACGTGGTTTTAAAATTAAGGGGTTTGTCACACTGGGCCCGTTACGAGGATGCGGGGTTTGGACTGCCGGCAGGTGAAATGTTGATGTGTTGGTATCTTTCTTCTTTCCTTTCTAGGCCGTGCTTTACATCAGTTGGATGTGGTAATCTTGAGTAACCTTATAACTAGCAGGACGATCAAGGACTCGACTTCCTTTCCCACGGCGCCTGCAATTACGCTACTGCGCGCTGCCCGATCCTTACCATCGAAGCTTCCATCCCGCAATAGCATCAACCGCCGCGAAGGGATATCGTGGGGGGTCCCCAAACAAGACACACAAGCCCGGAGCGTCTCCACCCTTCCCGTCTCCTCCACCGGTAAAAAAATATCGCCATCCCTCCTCACAACAACCACCACCACCACCAGCACTCCCCCTCACCCCTGCAGCTGCGACCTCCTCCCCGCCTCCCTCTCCGCCCACGCCAGGTTCCGCATCCGCACCCGCCGCATGTACGCCATCTGGTCCCCCCGCACGGCCGGGAATCCGTCGGCGGCGTCGTCGGCGCCGAAGAAGCGGGCGACGCCGGCGCCGGTGACGACGAGGGCGCCGGCGCCGAGGATGGCGAAGAGGACGATGAGGCTGGCGCCGATTGCCATTGTGGGGTTGATGGGGGTGGTGGTGGTGGTTGTGGGGTTTCGGTGTGGGGATTAGGGAGGTGGGTTGGGGAGAGTCTGGTGGTTGAGGGGGGTTGGGTTGGTTGGAGTCGGTGGGGGTTGGAGTCGGGATTGTGGATTGCGCAGGTGGGCGGATTGAGCTGGGAGGGGGTTGGGGTCGGGTCGTGGCTTTTGGAGGTGGTAGAGGAGGGGGAGATGAGAGAGAGGGAGAGGGAGAGGGAGGGAGGGAGAGGGAGAGAGAGAGAGAAAGAGAGAGGAACAGAACGAACACGACCGATACCCGAGACTCGAACAGGGGAAAGCCCCGCGACTGTATTACTATCTGTCACACCGGTTACATCCCCTCAGTCCGCAGCACCAGGTCGTGTCCGAAAATAAAAAGCTCCCGCAAAGGAATAGCGCTCGCTTCTTTGGGAAAGGTGTACGAGCGTCGTTACGAGATCCGTCTGGGATCCACCATGCGCAGGTCGAGTACGACGACTACCGAACGGATGCACTCTCTTCACTGCATTGGAGGACGACAAAGGACAGGGGAGTGGGGATGGGAAAAGGGGGATGTCCGACGGTTTGGAAGTTAATGCTGCGTACTTTGGTCGGTGGTCTGGTCGGATTGCAGAGGCTTGAGTGGGTGGAGGGGCGGTCGCGATTGGTTGGAGATGTGTTTGCGTTGAGTTTAGGTGATGGAGTCGACGAGGGCTATTTTTGTAAACGGTAGGGATGTTTACCGAGTTACGAGATCACCAATGGGGATGTTTCGTAACTTTTTTTATTATTATTTTTTTGACAAAGGGGTTAGTTTATTCGTCTCAGAGCGCGATAAGCCTTGAAGCTCGATCACTGATTCACTTATGTTGTTGGGGGTATTTAGTTCCTAATGGCGCTGGTACAATGGTGTTGCGGTGCTTCTTATTTTCTGGCAGCGCCATTAGCCTCAGGTTTTAAAGTTCTTAACCGGGAACAGCCGTTGGTTCGAATTCCCCCGGTGCTTTCATGCCTGGAAAATGTTCGTTGGTTGGCTTACCGTCCGGGGCGGACGCCTGTTGGTCGTGGTCGTGTTGTTGGGGGTATTTAGTTCGTATTAGATTCGATTCCTAATGGCGCTGGTACAATGGTGTTGCGGTGCTTCTTATTTTCTACTTAGTCAGGACTGTTGTGGTTACGTTCTGGTGTCGTCCCTTCTTATTGTTTTAGTACGTTCATATACATTAGGTTTCGCCAAGGGGGTGGGGTTTTTTGAGGGCGACGATATCATCGTTACGACTCTTGTGATAACGCTGTTGACTTCTTGGGCCCTTGTTGCTGCTGCCTCGCGTTATAAGTGTAGTATCCTAATAGAGCATCGGGATTTCGGGGTCGAGACGGGTGGGGATAGGCCTAGAAGTTTCAGAGGGTATACACTAAACCTCGCTCTATCCCACCCTCACTTCATTGCGCAGCGTGGTAATGTAACTGGACGTTCGATAAAGCTGCCGTGCTAAGACGCAAAGAGGAAACTAACTTGGGAGAACCGATTTCAAAAGCTGATGAGTTTTTCAGAAGATATTCTAGGGGTTCCGTTGCGCTAGACCTCGTTATGTGTAGTTAGTCTGTTGACCTTTTTTCATCAGATCTTTGATCAATGCTCTGAAAAAGGTTGCTGAACTGCCTAATAGCGTTGACGTTCACTCGCGCTCAGATATAAATATAGGGGGAACAAGTAGGAAGAACGGAAAATGACTGGGGACGTCACGTGAGACAGTGCAAGCAAATAGCGCTCTGAGTCACAGAGTGCAGGGCTAAATACCTGACGTATGCGGTGTTTCGCACATGATGGATCCCTTGGTGATGCATCTTTGCGGCTTCGTAGGTACCATAGACTTCGGCTGTTTGGTTACTAATGCACTCGAGCGCTGACGCTGACGCTGATCACTTCACCACTTTGCAATCAGATACCGTCCGAGAGGCCAGGGATGCTCCCAAACTTCCACGAAGGTTTCAAAACAGCACTGCTTGACAGGTGCTGTGATGGTACCGGCGGCATCGGTTAAAGCGTTGGAGCTTGGCGAGGCTGGCGTGTTCGCTCCTGTCATCCATGCTGTAAGTTAGCGTGTCGGCGTGACAGGCACGACATTGGTACCGAGAGCGACTACGAAAGATTTGTTGTTGAGAAAGGTCTAGACGTTCATGGAACAGCAAGTACAACGTTTTCAAGGTGGTGATGAGGTAATCGATCCCGTTCCTCACACCGAATTCCATCGTCTGCTCCAAGCTGATATACGTAGTGGACGTACGTTAGAATTGCAGAAATACTCGATTTGATGGAGGAGGTTGAGGTTGACACGGCGAAGGAGATGGATCAGCGACTTCTGTGGCCATTGGCTAAGGGAGAGAAGGTGCGCCTACTGCAAGCGCCTACTGGAATCGAAGTGATTCTTTCCAACCATATATGATATATCTGCCGTCGCACCAACAAATACGTTAATCTACAATCCAGTAAGGTAGTTACGAGCGAAATAGACCTTTCAGGCTAAGCCGTAACAGGCAGGTACTTTCCAGTGTTAGCCTCAAATGAAAAACGCTGTCGCCAACCTCGACAGCTTGCAATTGCATATTGGCCACGCGTGCGATGTCATAATCTGCTCAACAATCCCAGGCTTGTTGTTATATATCATGTAGTTTCCGCAAAATCTTGGGTTCATCACAGCGGTGCAACCACAAGTACCCCAAGATATTAAAGGCAGTATCAACTTGCCCGCAATGGATAATGTACCAAATGTGGCAACGCGCACACTGTCTCGACGAGGGCACACGTATGCTACAGGAGCCAAGAAAACTCTCGAGAATGTCATCAATAATCTGTGGGACCCGGAAGACAACCCTGATGGCTTCGTCAGTCTGGGAGTCGCAGAAAATGTGAAGTCTCACCTCGAACAAAGCGCGCATTACCTTGGCTAATGTACCGAACGCAGGCACTGATGCATGAAGAACTGGCAAGCTATGTCAAAGACTCCGTCCGTTCAGTCTTGTCGACATTGGCGTGCCTCTATCGCTGACTCTTTGCTATAAAGATCCAAGACCTTCAGACGCACGCTTTCACCTATGGCGATAGCTTTTACGGCAGCAAGCGCCTACGCTCCGCCATCGCCCAATTTGTGAACCATCGTTTTCAGCCTAACCAAGCTGTCAAACAGGAACATGTCGTGGCAACTGCTGGTCTGACGAATTCTCTTGAGCAATTGGCTTACGCGCTTGGAGATCCGGGCGATGGCTTTTTGATTGGCAGACCATACTACACATCGCTGCCGAAGGACTTCGGCTCGAGGGCCGGGTGAGACGAGCAATTTCGCTCGTGATTGGCCAATGGTTGCTAAGGACTCGGTAGAATCCAATCAATTGGAGTAGCCTTCGGCGACGTAGATCCGTTCAGCATGGATGCGATTTTGAAATACGAGGAAGCTCTAATTGAAGCACGGAAGGATGGTGTTCCAACGAAGGCTTTGTTTCTTTGCTCGCCGCACAACCCACTAGGTATCTGATATTCGTGAATATCTTTCTGTTATTGGTCTAATGATCTCCAAGGTCGCTGCTATCCCAGAGAGGTCCTCGTCGGACTCATGAAATTCTGTCAACAACACAAGATCCATTTGATCAGCGATGAGATATACGCGCTTTCCGTCTGGCAAAACCCCGAGGTGCCTGACGCCGTTACCTTTGAATCTGTCCTCTCAATTGATACATCTGGGATTATAGACCCGGGTTTGGTGCACGTTTTGTGGGGAATGAGCAAGGTCCGTCTCATGGAGAATCCGTATCTGATAATCCAAGACCCTGACAATGACTCTAAAGGACTTCGGAGCCAACGGCCTTCGAATAGGCTGCATCATCAGCCAACACAATCACCCACTCCTCGAAGCTGTCAAGGCGAACTCGTACGGCCCCCTAACCTTTCCTCCCCGTCCTTCACACAGCACCAACAGCTCACCTTACACCAGTCTCTTCACATATCCCCCCTCACTCTCCGACCACATAACCTCCACCCTCCTGGAAGACACCTCTTACACAGAAACATACATCCGCACCAACCAGCTCCGCCTCGCCGAAAACTACGCGTTCGCTACCTCCTTCCTCAAACATCACAACATCCCCTACTCCGCAAAAGTCAACGCCGCGTTCTTCCTCTGGGTTGATTTGAAACCCCTCTTTTCCAACGTCGCAACGGAGGAGGAACGGAGTAAGCAGGGGAAGGAACTGTCTGGAGCTATTATGGAGAGGTTGATGGCGAAGAAGGTATTCGTCGCGAACGGAGAGGCGTTTGCGGGCGAGGAGCCGGGTTGGTTTCGCGTGGTGTTTTCGCAGCCGAAGGCGTATGTGGAGGAGGGGCTGAGGAGGTTGATGAGTGCTTTTTAGGCGTGGGGTGGGGGGGGGGGGGGGGTTAGGTAGCTGGTAGAGGACTGAGGCAGTATGGTATTAACTTTTTGTGGGCTAGGTGTATGAGACCGAGGCAGATCGCACTTATGCCAGTACGATACGACCATCGCTCACTGGGATGACTTCACCATTTGTGTCGTTAATTGTAGCTTGTCTAAGTGAATGATTCTCGATCGATTTCCACATTATCCAATCGATGATACCGAAAAAATATCTATATATACAACTACAGATTATCAAATACCCAATGTTTCCGAATGTTCGATTCGTTAATGACGCAAGGACTGGGAAGCACCCGGGGCTCTATGTTGTGACTTGTGTGAGAGAGAGAGAGAGAGAGAGAGAGAGGTCAAGCCACGAGGACCCGTTGCGTGCGCCATGATGCAGACAGATGGAAGCGAATATTGATTGGGTAGCGCCAGCCACCACGTTAGCGGTCCGCCGTGTTATCGTATGTGGGCCCCACCTACATACACAACCGTTGCATGTAAGTGACAGTTGGCAAGTCCTCACCCGACGCAAACGGGAGCCAAATCCGGCCTAGTTACGGCGGGCGACGGCTGACACTACGACAGAATTAAAATCAATTTTCTTTCTTTAATTTTTTTTTCTTCTCGCGACTTTGAAAAATTATTTGAAGAGATTTTCTAAAGAAATATTTTAGAGAAATACTTTAAGGGATTCTTTATGGGGTATTTAAGGAGGATTTAAGAGATTATTTAAGGGTATACTCGAGGAGATATTTGAGGAGGATATTTTAGAGAGTATTTAGAGGGTTACTCGAGGGGTTTCTTAAAGATTTACTCGAGAAATCACTCGGAAAAAAAAAAAAAAAGACTTCGCGGGAAGTTCCGCGGTTTTTTTTTTTTTTTTTTTTTTTTGCGAAGAACTTCATAAAACGTAACACGTCCCCGTCAAAAGTCATTAGTCACCGAGGTTTACCCGGCTACTGCTGGCTTCCCACCAAAACACTGCTGTAGATACTTCTAAATAGTCACCAAATGGAGGATAATACACCCCCCTATATATCTATATATAGTCCTCATTATCGCGAGGCTACTACGCGTAAGAAAGTTAAGTTCTTTGAAGCCATTTGGTGGGAAGCCAGCGGTAGCCGGGTAAACCTCGGTGACTAATGACTTTTGACGGGGACGTGTAAGTACCCGGAAGAGTACCCGGAAGAGTACCCGAGAGAGTACCCCGGAGAGTACCTCGAAGAGTACCCGGAAGAATACCCGGAGAGTACCCCGGAGAGTACCTCGAAGAGTATCTCGAAGAGTACCCCGGAGAGTAGCCCCTAAAGAGTGCCTCAAAAAGTACCTCTCGAAGAGTTGAGAATATTCTAAAAAGAATATTTTGAAGAGAGTTACTAGAAATCGCGAAGAAAAAAACGAAAAGAGATTTTTTTTTTTGGTTTTGTCGTAGTGTCAGCCGTCGTCCGCCGTACTAGTCGTCTTCTTTCTCGTATCGCTTGAACCAGGCGATATCGAGGGTTTGAAACAAATTGAGAATAACAACTTGTTAACATATACCAATACGGCAAAGGAAAGTTCCATAACCTATATTCTTTCCAGAACGTCTGGATCGTACGTCGTTATTCCAATCGAATTCAAACCTGATTAAAAGCATGACCACTTACCATACAATAATCAATTTTACCACAGCTTTCCTCACCGTGATCCCTATCACGACAATCTAATCCGCAACACCAAGAAGCACAACCACCTATCCCACCATGAATCGTCGTGTCGACCGTCCAAGTCTACTCAATCAATCAATCAATCCCGCAGCAAAAAATCAGCAAACGCCTCCCGCAGCACCGCGTCCATCTCCCCCGCCGCCCCGACCATCCCACGCACACCCACCTCCGACCCCGTCCGCCGCAGCCCCAACACAAATCGCGGTCGCTCATCCACGAACCCACCTCCACAACACCTTATCATCTGCCCACAGCGCCGCTGTCTTCGCTCTCTCTCTCTCCAATGCCTGCCCCCTTACTTACTCACTCTGTGATATACAGGTTCCCACAAACTCGTCCACGTGCGTCGACGGTGCGCTTCGAGTCGGATGGCGGGCGGTTGACGGCGTAGATAGATGGCCGCGGAGGCGTCGAGGAAGGGCTGAGAGTGCGTGATGCGGCCCTCGTGGGCGGTGAGGGCGGCGGGGTGATTGGGAACGGCGGGGTCGATGCCGATGTTAGCTGCTGTATGTTTTTCGGAGGGGGGGGGGTTTTCTTTTGTGGGGTTTGGTGGTGCTGGTTTGCTTTGCATTGGTGATATCGTCGTTGGATTTGTCGAATACGTACGTTCTTGGGTTGACGATAGGCATTTGATCGTCATCTGCTTACCTTTTTTGTTCCCTGGTAGCGTCTTCTTGGGGTGAAGGAGCGGGGCGGGCGGTGGATGACGAGGAGATCAGGAGCACTGGAGAATTCACTTGCTAAGTTGATGTACATAGCAAGTGCAAGATTAGAGACAAGTATTAAGAGGAAGACGCCGACGCTATGCACTCATCTCACTCCATTACGCAAGTGACGGCCCCGCGCCTCCTCTCATGTGACTCCAATACACACGCTCATCAATCAAGAACGCTTCAAACCCTTCCAGAAACCCTTCTTTTGCGGCCTCTGTCCGTAATTCTCTTCTTCGATATTATGCTTGCCGACTATGCTCAAGAAAACTTGGTCCAAGGTCGTTTGGCTGACGGAGTAATACTCAAATCCTAGCTCTTCCTTATGCACTTCCAGCATGGTGAACAACGCACCAATCCCACTACGACTGGTATCCCTGTCATTAGCGGATTGGATGATGTCCGTGCTGGTGCCTGCTGACTTTGGCTCCTCTGCGGCTGATCGACTGGCGGGTACCGAGAAGCGCAGTTGACCATGGAAGGTCTTGTCCTCGACCACTGCGCCTTCCAGATTGGCGGTGATCCATTGCTTGACCATAATCATGTCGTCGTCGCTGGTATGTGGTGCGGTCTTCATAATCAAATGAACGTGGTAACGATCGCCATGTTTCCGCCTCAACCCCTCACTCGTGCCCAAAGCCAACATCTTCTTCCCCATGATCCCAGCCCTGTCCGCCAGGGCATCCGCCTCTTCCATAGAATGTGTTGTTAAGACCAAGCTCCTGCCTGGGACAACTGAAGCCAGGGTCTTCCACATGACACGTTTGGCGCAAACATCCATGCCAGAAGAGGGCTCATCGAGCAAGAGCACTGAAGGGTTACCCATAAGGGCAATACCGAGACAGAGTTTGCGCTTGTTGCCGCCGGAGAGGGCAAACGCCATGCGGTGTTGGAAGGGTCCTAGGCCTACTGCGCGAATGACTTCGCGCACATTGTGTTCCACATCGTCAACGCCGCGGACACGGGCATAAAAGCGTAAATGTTCGAGCACAGTCATTTGATCGCAGGCATCGACTTGCGGGCACACACCCAGATGGTGCCTCGCATCTGCTCGTCGCTTGCTAATTGGGATATCTTCAACGTAGATTTCGCCGCTGGTATGTGATGGGAGTATATCGCCTCGGATGAGGGAGATCGTTGTGGATTTTCCGGCGCCGTTGGGGCCGAGGAGGGCAAAGACTTCGCCGCGCTTGACGCCAAATGTAATGTCTTGCACTGCTACGTTGCTACCATAGGCTTTGGTGATGTGTTGGACTCGAAGACCATCGTCTGGCGCAGCACTGACACGTTTGATCTCCGCCACAATTTCGTCATCGAGAGAGTCTGCCTCTTCGGCATCGTCTGTCTTATACTGCTTGCGGCGGATTCTTGCCCAAATAGAGCCACTATCCCACCACAATAGCACTCCGAAGAGGAAGAATGATTGGCCAATGAGGTACAAAATTGGACCTCCATACAGTGTGATTTTTCCTGGATAAGAGGCAATTTGGTTGCCTTCACAGAGGACTGAGAAGACGTTGAGAGCGACGAACAGCGCCCGAATTAGGTTCCCAGCAGGAGTGATGAGTCCAATGGTAAAGTGAGTGACCAGCAGATAGCTGTCGACCTTGTTCGTCGGAGAATAGGTGAGGACGCTGAGGTACGCAATAAAGTACAGCAAGAACATGACAGCTTGTCCACCAGCGGCGAAGGCGAACGCAGCGAGCTGGGACCTCGAAAATAAAGAGATGACGTACGAAAGCAGTGTAGATGCAATACCATACAAGAACAAAACCACAAAAAGGTATTCGGCATGATACCAGGCGTCGCTGACACCTCGGAAGATTATGATTGTGAGAACGCTGGTGGCAATGACGATCATGAAATCAAAGGTTAGATACGCGGACCACAGACATACACTCCGTACGCCGTTACTGTAGTGGAGCTGCCGAACATTCCTCAAGCGCTCAAGCGTGGGGTAGAGAGCAAAGAATGCCGGATATGCAGACATTGCGAGACCGAAATATACGATCAACTGGAGCGTCTTGCCCGCAGAGGGTACCCATGGAGTGTCGAAAGCTTGATATTGACTACTGATGGAGATGTTGAGAAGCAGGTTATCCATCAAATTCTGCGTGATGGTCGCTAGAGAGATATCTCCGTTACCCACATATGCGAAGGTAGGCGGTGATGTATCATCACCAAGAAAGAAGCCACCAGGGGTGACATTCCCATAAAACCGGCCGATGTAGTTGTTAAAGTCCTCAAGGGTACCATTGATTGGGTGGATCGAGGACATTAGATCTGACAACCCACTGCCGCCCGAGCCGCTAGAGTTCCCACCTGGAAGTGTTGCCTCGAGTTGAGCAAGAGCCTGAGGGGATATCTTACTCGCTGGACCAACGACTATATCATAATTTAGTTGCGTAAGGAGCGACTCGAGATTGGAAGGCGAGACTGATTGAGTTGGGGAGCAGCCGGGGGCTGTGAAGTTTTTCAGGAACAACGTGACCAGCCCTGCAGCGATGACCGGAATCAAGAATGCCGCTGCGTATGGGATGTAGTTACGTTGGAAAACAGTCCAACGCTTGCGGAACAAGGTCAAGGCCTGACCCATCAATCCAATCCGTCTGCCAGTCTGAAGCTTCAGGCCACTATCGCTGTCTTCTAGAGTTGAATCCTTGTCCTCCGCTACAATGACTTCTGTACTGGACTTGCCCTTGGCTTCAGGACTGCTGCTGTGGGGGAATATTGGTTGAGTTGCAGACATAGCTTCCATATCCTCCGCCACGTTGAAGAATATGTCCTCGATAGTAGGTGAACTTATCTCGTAATTTTTGATGCCATGTGTCTCCAACAGTCGGACAAAATCCGCAGCCTGAGCTGAATTCGGCAGAGTGTACATCGTCTGATCAACCATTTCTTTAGTGGAAACACCGTCCAAATGGGGAGAATCACGGTCATCTCCCGGCGTTTTGAAGACGTGGATGCGAAAGCCGCCTCCAAGTTGGTGCTTCAGCTCCACGGCCGAGCCTTGCGCCTTGAGGCTACCACGGGAAAGAATAGCAATCTGGTCTGACAGAAGATCGGCTTCATCCAAGAAATGAGTTGTGAATATAATTGTGCGTTTTCCGCGCTCATTGAGCAATATGTTCCATAGCTTCTGGCGGGCCAAAGCATCGACTCCGCTGGAACATTCATCAACGCAACAGACACGTGATCCTCCGGTGAACATCATACTCAGTTGAAGCTTGCGTTTCTGTCCTCCTGATAAAGTACCGGACTGAGCGCCAACCTTTCTGTCAAGATCGCAAGCTGCAATAAGATCATCGATCTCGGCCTTGGTCGATGGATTGTCAGTGGACTTCAGTCTGTTGAATATCCGCACGTGCTCATAAACAGTCAAGTTATCCCAAAGAACGTTGCGTTGAGGACAAATACCCAGGCCTCCAAAACCATCTACGGCAACAGTCCCTGATGTGACTGTGCTCAGACCAGCTATCGCCTCAAGAGTCGTCGACTTTCCACTGCCATTAGCACCGAGCAGGACCATAATTTGGCCTTGCGGTATGGTGAGGTTCAATGTGTCGACTGCCACGACCGTTTCCTTGCGTTTCCCGAATTTTGTGGCAATATTGCGCGCCCACCATGATGGCCTGTAGCACTTCGTGAAAGCTGAAAGCTGGACAGCAGCTTTGGATACTTCGGTTCCGGATGAGAGTTGGCGCCCCTTCGATGCGGTTCCGTAGAGGGCTCTCTCTACAATGGCTCCAAGGATAGGGAAGACTAGGATCTGAATTACGGAAAAGACAAAGAATGCTATTCCAGGTAACGTGGACGGATTCTGTGGAGCGGCCTTGACCAGGTTCGTGCCTTCATCTTGCCGTTCCCATCTGGCCATCAAGACCGTGAAGAAAGTATAATTCATAGGTGGAAACAGGAGACTGAGGACTGCGACTGCGCCAGTACTAGATTTTGCTATGACCTGCGCCAACACGGCGAGAAGCAGCGATACGATTGTTGTGACTATTCCGCTCAGCTGTGCTTTGTGGAAGAAAGCTGCCCCAAAGATGGAGAATGACGACAGAGAAAGACCAGTCAAGATATTGAAAAAGACGAGGGTTGCGGCACTGGTTTTGGTGAAGACGCCGTACTTTAATATGAGGCCGATGGCAATCCAGCCTGGAAAGAACATAATGTCGAATGCGACGTGATTCGCAAGCAACCGGACCGCTTGAGGTTCCCACCGTCTTTTGTTTGGCATTGACGCTTCGATAATCTGGGTCATTCCAAGCTCTCTTTCCGATGCCATCAGTCCAACCAATTGGTATATCACCCCCACAATGCCGATGAAGAAAGCGACGGCCAGGATGTCAATGATACCCCCCATGTACCGCACACGGATCTGGTCGCTTCTCTCCTTTTGTGTTTGCGTCGTGTATGGGTATTCATAGACCCGGCTCGGAAGAGCTGACTGATCGATAGTAGTATTCTGGCCTGCAATTGCAAAGTCGATCGCATGCTGTAGAGGTAACGCGAACACTTCCTGGTCATTGTTCGCATTTGTGGTATCGATCTTGTCTCCAAGCCCTCCATCAGCCCGGAGACTGTAGTTCCAGATACCGCCAGGACCTTCTGTTGGCGAACCGTAGAATATGGCCGCGCCATAGCATGAAGAGACACCACGAATCGAGCTCCGGCATACTGTGAGTAGGTCCTCCTGTTGCGACAAGGTCTTGACCGTCACCCCATCAGCCTTGACCTGGTCCGCCACCTGGTTGATGACCGTATTGATATCACCTCCTGTAAAACCATTGTTGACGAGAGCTATGGTGTTTCTTCCCCCTCCTATTGCAGTACCCAAAGCATCTGCCAGAGACCTCACTGGCGTCGCGTTGCCGATTCCGTAGTGGGAAGGGGGGATGAAGAGGTTTCTCGCATATGCTAGGAACCAGCTGAAGATGACCTGAGGGAGTTCTCCCGTCAGCGATTACTATTTTAGGGTGGGAATTGGAGCCATGTCGAGAGCACAGGGGACCCCGACGATTCTTCGGGACTCCCAAAGACGTCTGAAGAAGGCATTCTAGGGGTGGGGGGAAAGTCGTACCGGTAGGAGAAAGCATCGAACAGGTGTGGAGAAGGCGTGTCGAAAGAGAACGATAAGGATATTCTTATATATTAGGGTCCATGTCTGACGAATAAAGAGCATGGTTTGAGCTGGTGTGTGGCTTTCAGTCCTTCTTGACTACCGTCTTCTATTGAATTTCAGAATTTGAAGTCTGGTTCGCGCAGAGACATGGCTCGAATTGTATGAATGAAAGAGCGATGAAGGACGATGTAGGTATACATGTACCCTGATGCAGGCGATCTTTACGGGGAAGGATTCTATGGCTCCCGCTGATTCCTGCAAGATTAACTCGTGCTGTTGTACTCGTGGATTCCAGAAATGAGTTACTTGATAGAGCGAGGACACCAATAGATCAAGCGACATGCCGCTGAGTGGAAATATCTATTGGTGTCCTCGCTCTATCAAGTAACTCACTTCTGGAATCCACGAGTATTGTCAGTGACGCATCAGCTCAGCGTATTCGTTCCCGGCCTCGGCTCGGACCAGTCTGACATTGAAGGCTTGGCAGTACGAAGACACTTCTTAGAAGCCTTCGGACAACGACCAGAAGATGACGATGCTGTATGTGAAGGTGGCTAAGAATTGCTTCAGCGCTTCGGCGTTGCACAGAATCCTACTTCATCGTCACAGCTACCTTTTGGAACAGTAGTAGGTATAAAGTACCATGGAAACGGGCCTTGGTGCTCGCGTAGCCGGCAGCACCAAGTCTTCCGGGGACAAAAAATCGCAAGGAACCCTGGATGCTGACCATTATAGTGCCATTAGTGTACAATTCAATTGGTGGGAATATCCGCACTTCTGTTCTACCCTGTGTTCGCGGTGATGCTACTTATATTACTAGTATTAGGTTCGATGATATATAAGACTACCTAGAGCGAAAAAGGTACCGTAGGATTAGAAGCAATGAAAATGCCGGGCTACTGATTGGTTCTCATTAATTCCGACATCCATGTTCCGATGTGCTTAGCTGCATGTCGCAATATTATGACACGATGGGCCGATCCTGTTACCAGGCACAATTATCCTGGGGTTTAATCCACTTTCCAGCACCCTGTGTGACAAACACGGCCACTGGGGTAGCCAGCATCAGGACAGACAACACTGTCAGGACAACGCTTCGCACAGATCTAGGCCCCTCAAGTTTCGAATCCTGGACAAGGTCCTAATCCATTTACAATCAACCTCAGTCAGTATACCACGAGGACAGAGACTACCGCAGAAGCAATACACGGAGCAGAAATACTTTCTTGGACTTACCCCGTCCTGCGCCAAGTTGTAATCCCTGATCACTTTAAGTTTTCTTCTCATCAACTGCATCAACGGACAGCTTCAAGTCTTCGGACCAACCAATATGGATCAAGCTGGTCGTGGAGCCAGCGCCATCGATGGGGGTAATTTCAAACTTGCCGTTACCTGCTACACGGAAGCCATCGCTCAGAATCCCCAAGCCGTCAGTTATTATATCCAACGTTCTAAAGCCTACACTCGTCTCTCACCTCCTGATCATCAAGCCGCCTTCCACGACGCGGAGCTTGCTGTGTCTCTTGCTACGAAGAGAGCCAAGAGGGAACTCATCGCTGATAGTCAGCTACGAAGGGCTGTCACATTGTTCAACTTGGAGCGCTACGGCGATGCAAAGCAATGCCTTTGGTGGGTCAAGAAGCTGAATGAGAAAGAAAAGACCTTGGCAATCTGGGAAATGAAGGCGGAGACCAAATTGAAAGGGCTGGAGGATGGAGACGAGCGCGGGAAGGTGACTGTTGAAGAGACACCGAATGTCGAGGTTCCAAAGGCTGTCGTTGGGAAGAAGTCAGCCAAAGAAGCTGAGAAGACAGCTGAAGCCTCAGCCTCAACCTCAACGACCACCAACGGGACTAAGGAGGCTGCGAAGGAGTCTACTGCAGCTGTGCAATCTGAGGGCGTGCAGACACCTCCAAGCAAGATTCGTCATGAGTGGTTCCAGACAAATGATACTGTGGTTGTCAGTCTCTTCTGCAAAGGCATTCCTAAGGATAAAACTACAGTCGAGATCAAGCAAGACTCTCTGGACGTTTCGTTCCCACTGCCCACTGGCTCAGACTTCAATCTGTCCTTGGATCCACTCTTCGCCGCTATTGATGCGTCCGCATCTTCCTACAAAATCATGTCAGCAAAAGCCGAATTCACGCTCAAAAAATCTACACCAGGCCAACAATGGGCAAACATCGAGGGAGCGCATCCTGCCAGCACTGAAGAAACTTCCGCTGATGGTGATGATACTGTCAAGCGTGCCGTTCTGTCAGACAAATCTTCCAACGCTGGTCCGGTATATCCAACCTCGTCCAAGTCCGGCCCCAAGAACTGGGACAAGGTAGTCAACGACTTGTCGAAGAAGCCTAAAAAGGATGTCAAGGAGGGTGAAGAGGGTGCTTCAGAGGATGCTGGGATCGAAGATGAGGAAGGCGATCCTACGACCAATTTCTTTAAGATGCTTTATAAGGGTGCGGATCCTGATACTCAAAAAGCAATGATGAAGAGCTACCAGGAGAGCAACGGCACCGCGCTGAGCACCAACTGGGCTGATGTCAGCAAAGGAAGGGTCGAAACCTCTCCTCCTGATGGCATGGAGGCCAAGAAATGGGATCAGTGATTGGGTAGCTCATCAATTGCATTGCTGGCGTGCTTTACTATTGCGTGCATAGCGGGGCGGATATCTGCGAAATTCTAGCGAACTGATCAGACGATGGATGAAACTATCTTGCTCATAGCGAGGCTATGCGTTATGGCGGAGGAATGTCCCTTAGTCTGTGCCCTAGATACAACCTGAGGCATCAATCACGGCATTAGGCCAACGCCGGCGAAAAAATGATCTAAGACAGCCATGCAATAATACTTTCATTTGTAGACTTCCCCATTCTGATTGACACCTGCCCCGCAACAATGTGATATGTGACCCTGTAGCCGCCCACGGTTTCAGGCGGGCCGGCCCCTCCAGCTCAAAATGACGGCGGCGGTTTTAAGCTGTCAATGCGCTTACTCCTCTGATCAGTGCGCAAGCATAAAGCCAAGCAGTGCAGCACTCTCGATGGAGAGAGTTGCATGCTGCTATTGCCTTAGCTGCTGGATCAATTGAGGCTGGTCATGCTCTTATCTGGCTATCGCGCATCATCATGCTGCATTGAAGATTGACGACACTGCCGCGACGTCTCTTCAGCCCAATCCGATGAACAGCCTCGCGCTCCCTTCTTACTCCCGAACACGCCCCAAAGATTCATTTACCCGTACGGCCTTGCGGTCGCCGTCTCTACTTCTCCATCTAGAGTTAGTTCCAATATTCTCGACGTCTTTCCGGCCCCACAGTGTCCCTCACAGCCTCCCCAAACTCAGCCCGGCCGCTTTGCTTGACAATCTTGTACACATCGAAACGCGGAAGATCAAAGAAGACTGAATGAAGAGGGACCCGTGATCTATACCGATCTATGAGGACCCTGATCACCAAACCCTATACCGGTCTCAGCGCCTATGTTATTCAATGCTGTCCCTGCCTAGAACACCTTCGAAGGCGAATAAGAAGGCGGATGATGAGATCGAAGAAATCAAGACATCGTTATCTGCAAGATGGGGAATACAGTTGCCGCCAAGAGACTCGACCTGGAGTCCTTCCAGGAGGGACCCCGATCGAGTGGAGGACAAGATCGTAGCTTTCATACAATTCCTGTATTTCAAGAAAGGAGCGCTGGACTACGCACTTAACCAATTTGAAGAGACTGCTGTTCAGATCGTTTCAAGATGGCAGTTCAAGCCACATGGAGAGCCCAACGTACTTCCATCCCTCGAAGCATCCAAGAGCGCGTTGAAACAAGACTTCTTGAAGAAGCGTCCCGCACTGTCGGATAAAGCAATCACAGAATTAACGGAAAAGCTCAAGCACTCCCTGAGTTTGATCGTTGGTCGAGTCAAAGGTGGGGAGGAATTCCCGAAATCCGTCAAAGCTGAAGGTGAGCACTCGCATTTCTGCTTGCTTCCAGCTACAATTGGCTGAGACTGTTTCAGATGACCCAATCCCTACCAATGAAACCTCGCCCTCCAAGCCCAAGATTTTTAAACGCCAGTCGAGCCTCGCGCTATGGCTGCGATCTAAGAGCGAACCGGGACCAGCAAAGGGCGGAGACCCATCAGCTCACCACCCCTCATCTTCTGACGACTACCCAGACCAGGAAATGGCAGAACTCTTGGTCAATATCGACGCGATGAACAATTCATCGGCGATCCCAACCCCAGCTGCATATCCACGGAAGGCTGGCGAAGCTGCAAAACTCGAACAGAGCTCCTCTTCAGAAGATACATTCGAGACTCCACCAACCACCCCACCACTGCGCAAAAGGTCGAGTCTTGGTCCTTCTACGGACAGAAAAAGATCCCACCCTGATTCTATGCAAGCGCCACCCTCACGACACGTCTCTCGAAAAACATCGAGTGAGAAATCGGCCCAAGAGGTTAGTGGCTCGATTTTATTAAGAGAACTGAGTCAGACAGCAAGAACTGACTTTAAACTACTACAGTCTATCTATCAGCAGTATTCAAAAAAAGCTGACCCTACCCTACCGCCGGATAAAAATTCCACGGCGATGATAACCAAGTCGCAGTATGCCTATCCAAGACAACCAGCGCAAAGCAGGAATCCCGAGTCGGAGCCGGCTAAGTTCTTCGGCTCCTTCGATAATACAACGTCCGTTTCGTCCTCCATGACAAGCGCATCATCGACTTGGACGTCACCAAATACCTCTTTCTCCGTCAGATCTCTGGCAACTTCATTTGATGCTTCCGTTGATGGTACCGACACGGCCGTACGTGGGTCTTGGGACAATCCCTCACGCCCACCTCTGTTGAGTCACTCACTATCGGGATCAGAGAGCGATGTTGCGAAATGGTACGAGAATGAGGCGAGCAAGGTCTCGACGGACAAACCAAGAGCGCCATCTGATCCTATGGATCTTGACTATGAATTTGTTGTAACAGACAAAAACGCGTCTAAAGCCGAATCTCTGTATCTGCCGCGCCAGATTGAGGCCAAGACCAGCGAGACAGTTGTTGGCGCGCTT